AATACCATGGCTTGTATCTGAAATTTGCTCACCACCCCATAGCCTTCTTGTTGTTAAGTGCTGTCGAGTTGATTCTGACCCATAGCAACCCTGTACAGACTGTTTCCGAGGCTGTAAATCTTTACAGGAGCAGAAAGCCTCATCGTTCTCCCACGGAACAGCTGGTAGTTTCAAACTGCTTGCTGACCTTAAGGTTCACAGCCTGATTCATAACCACTACGCTACCAGAGCCCTAAACCTTAGGGAATGGCAATTTCATCCTTCTAGTTTTCCATGTCAAAAACCACGCAGTCATCATGGCATCTTTCTCTCTCATCTAATCTGTTAACAAATCCCATTGGTTCCATCTTCACTATCTATCTAAATTTTGACTACTTCTCAACACCTGGGCTATTACTAGACTACTCCAACCTGACATCCTATCTTGTTTAAATGATTACATTAGACTTACTAGGACAAACAACATCTGTGCCCCTCCACCTCTCTGCCCTACACCTGTTCTCCTCCCCTTGTTCACTCAGTTCCAGCCACACTGACCTGGATACTGTTCCTTCAACATACCAGAAGCTTCTTCTGCAGGGTCACTGCATTTGCTGTTCCTTTTCTCAGATATACATGAGGCATGTCCCTTTCCCCATGTAGGTCTTTAGTATATCACTTTCTCATGGCTTTTCTAGACACTGCTCTATAAAAATGTAAGCACCCACCTCCACGTCTATATTCCCCTCGCTGCTTTACTTTTCTTCGTTGCACTCATTACCAGATGACATATTATGTTTGACTTACTTATTTCTTTGTATTCTCTTCTATTGTTGGGAAGGTCCAAAAGAGTTAAGGAATCTGGTGTGTTCAGTTTACTATTATATCCTCAGCACTTAAGAGGTGGCTCAATAGCTATGTGTTAAACGAGTAAATGAACAGTAGTTTCCTAACAAATCTCTGCTGAATGTGTGAAAGAATAAAACAATGGAATTCTGGTTATGTAGCCATAGCCCAGGTCGGCTCAAGTGCAAGATGCAGCATGCTGACGGCACTGCTGGGAGGACTCAACACCGGCTGCACTTTACGCCACTCCACCGCACGCACCTCCAGCACAGAGTACTGTGAACGCCCACCAAAAAGCGGCTCCCATATCCTACTACCTTCCCAAGGCTGGGTTAACCCCCAAATCCTGAAACGTCTGGCCAGCTGGGCACTGTGTGAAGCAAGATCCTGGTCCTCCACATGCTCATTTTGCAGACGCGAAGCCAAGGCTAAGAAAACGGAGGCAGAGTCGTCAAACCCTCCTGACCCTCTTCTTACTCACTCACCCATCCCATGCCAGAGCACCAGCGGCAGCGGCGTCGGTGGGTCGCGACTCCCCAATGCCCCGGCAGCACAAAACCCGGGCAGGAGAGCGACTGCCAAGAGCAAGAAGGAAACCGGCGAAGCCATCTTGACAGTCACATGAGTGCGAGCGCGCAGCACCAGAAAAGCGCGCACCCGGGACCTGGGCGGGCCGCGGCTGTGGGCGGGCCGCGAGCTCTTCGGGTCTCCTCCGGCCTCGGACTGCCTGGCCGCGTGCGCAGCGTCTCTCCGACGCTCCTAGCGGCCACGCCCCACCTGGGAGTCTGCGCTCTACTACGTCTCTGCGACCGAATGCTTAATGAAAACGTATGCTGACTTTTTAGTGTTTATTACATGTCGCTGCAAAATCGGTTTGAACCACAAAGTAAGAGGTTCAAGCTCACCAGCTACTCCTTGGAAACCCTATACAGAGTCGCTGTGGGTCGGAACCGACTGAATGACACTTAATAACACATGTCAGAAGGAGCTCTGGTAGTGTAGTCAATCTACCAGCTGCTCCGCAGGAGAAAGGTAAGGCTTTCTGCTTCTATTAAGATTTACACTTTTGGCAACCCTATACAGGGTCCGTATGTTTCAGATAGACTCCGTGGCATATATCATTTATCAGCCACATTTGTAAATCAATTTAATCCTCATATTGTTGTTGTTGTTGTTAGGTGCCGTCGAATTGATACTAACTCATAGCGACCTTATGCCGGGGCCTGAGCCAATCTCTGTGCCAATTCGTCTCATTGGTGGTCTTCCTCTATTTCGTCAACGCTCCACTTTACCAAGCATGATGTACTCCAGGGACTGGTCCCTCCTGACAATATGTCCGAAATATGAGAGGCAAGTCTGGCCTTCCTGGCTTCTAAGGAACACTTAGACTGTGTTTCTACCAACACAGCTCTGTTTGTTCTTTTGGCAGTCCATGGTACTTTTAATATTCTCCTCCAACACCGTAAGTCAAATACATCAATTCTTCTGTGGCCTTCCTATTCATTGTCCAACTTTTACATGCATATGAAAATAACATGGCTTAGGTCAGGCACACCTTAGTGCTCAAACTGACACCTTTACTGTGGAACACTTTAAAGAGGTCGCATGCAGCAGATTTTCCTAATGCAATATGTTCACACTGCTGCTTCCATGGTTGTTGATGGTTGCTCCCAGCAAAATGAAGTCTTTGACAACTTCAATCTATTCTCCATTTATATGGATATTGCTTATTGGTCCCGTGATGAGGATTTTTGTCATTGCATTGATACCCATAAGCTGCGGTTTTGATCTTCATCAGTATTTCAAGTTCTCTTCACTTTCAGCAAGCAAGGTTGTATCATTTGCATATCTTCCTCCAATCCTGATGCCAAATTTTTCTTCATCTAATCCATCATCTCAGATTATTTACTCAGCATACAAACTGAATAAATATGGTGAAAGAATGCAAGCCTGGCACACACCTTTCCTACTTTTAAACCATTCAGTGTTCCCTTGTTCTGTTTGAACAACTAACTGCCTCTTGGTCTAGGTACAAGTTCCTCATGAGCACAATTAAGAGTTCTGGAATACTCCTTCGCAATGTGGTCCATAACTTGTCATGATCACACAATTGAAAGCCTTTGCATAACCAATAAAGCACAGGTAAACATCTTTCTGGTATTCTCTGCTTTCAGCAATATCCATATGACATTAACAAGGATATCACTTGTTCCTCATCCTGTTCTAAATCTGGCTTGAACCTCTGGCAGTTCTTTGTCAATGTACTGTTACAACTGCTTTTGAGGTATCTTTAACAAAATTTTACTTGCATGCAATATTAGTGATATTGTCCAATAATTTCCACATTCCATTGGGTCATGTGTCTTTGGAATGGGCACAAATACAGATCTCTTCCAATCAGTTGGCCAGGTAGCTGTCTTCTAAATTTCTTGGCAAAGATGAGTGAATGCCTCCAGAAATGAATGCCTCTTCAATTTGTTGAAATGTTTCAATCTGTATTCCATCAATTCCTGTTGTCTTGTTCTTTGTCAATGCCTTCAGTGTACCTTGGACTTCTCCCTTCAGTGTCATTGGCTCTTGATCATATGCTACAATGACTCTGTATATTTCTTTCATCTTCTTTTGATGCTTTCTGCATCATTCAATATTTTACTCATAGAATCCTTCAATACCGCAAGTCAAAGCTTGAATTTTTTTCTTAGTTTTCTCCACTTTGAAAAATCCTATTTGGGTTCTTCGGTTTTGTTCTCTAACTCCAGATCTTTGCACATTTCATTATAATACTTGACTTTGTCTTCTCAAGCTCTCTTTTGACATTTTCCGTTCAGCTCTTGTACCTCTTCATTTCTTCCATTTGCTTTAACATTTCTATGTTGGAGAGCAAGTTTCAGAGTCTCTTTTGACATCCATTTTGGTCTTTTCCTTCTTGCTTGTCTTCTTAATGACCTTTTGCTTTCTTCCTATATGATGTTCTTGATGTCATCCCACATCTTCTGGTCTTTGGTCGTTAGTTTCTAATGCATTAAATCTGTTCTTGAGATAATCTCTAAATTCAGTTGGGATATGTTCAAACCCATATTTTGACATTTGTGTATTTGTTTTAATTTTCTTTAGCTTCAACCTGAACTTTCATATGAACAATTGGTGGTCATTTCCACAGTTTGCCCCTGGCCTTGTTTTGGCTGATGATATGGAGCTTTTCCATCTTCTCTTTCCGCAGATATAGTCAATTTGATTTCTGTATATTCCATCTGGTGAGGTCCATGTATACTTTGTTAAAAAAGTCATTGGTATTGAAAATTTCTATCATGAGATCTCCAGCATCTTTTCTATCCCCAAGGCCATATTTTCCAACAATTTTTTGTTTCCAACCTTTGCATTCCAATTGTCCTTAATTATCAGTACATCCAGATTTCATGTTTGGTCTAGTTCAGACTGAAGAAGTTGGTAGAATTCTTCAGTTTCATCAGTGGCTTTGTTGGCTGGTGTGTAAATTTGAATAATAGTTGTATTAACTGCTCTTCCTTGATGCTGTTGTTGTTGTTGTTGTTAAGTGCCATCGTGTTGGTTCCAACTCATAGAGACCCTGTATAGGGTTTCCAAGGAGTGGCTGAGGAGCTTGAACCACCAACCTGTGACCTTGCAGTCCAGCGCATTAACCCGCAGCACTACACCAGGACTCTAGTCTTCCTTGTTGTTGTTAGGTGCCATTGAGTCAGTACCAGCTCATAG